TTTGTTCTAAAAGGAGTATAAAGCCAGTATGACAGAGGCTGAATTTAACAAAAAAAGTGAGAGATGGGCTGCGTGAGTAGAGAAGTGATAATATTTGGGACATCAAAGGAGTCATAATGAAACTTCAATTATATAAATTAAGATTTTTCACAGGTGAAGTGAAGTACTCCAAGTTTTTCTACCCGTACACTTTCCTAGCTAGCAAACACTCTTTAGCAAATGGAAACTGATTCTTCAAAGATTAGTAAATTGATTTGGCAGTAGCATTTCAATAGAATTACCCATGCCATAGTGGTCCATGCATATTCAAGGTTGTTGCATCAAGGCAAGTCTCTAAAGTAGAATGAGGATGACACCTGTTATTTTGAAGCGCTAACTCATGGTTACCATAATTATTAACAAGCAGGGTGCCAGCTCAAGGTTGGACAGGCTGTCATTGACTGATATCCTGGAAGAAGTGTTTTATGGTGGCCTTTGTGTAAGCCTGCAGTTCTTGTAGTGTATTGTAATAGTTTTTATCAAGCTGTGCACATTAGGTCTCCTCCTGCTTAACCTCATATTTTATTTTATTGGCTTGACACAAATGACTCCATTTTGATTCATGTGACTTTCACCCTGATGAAATGGCTAACTTCAGAAGGAAAATGAAAGAATATCTCCCCAAAGTGGAGCTGGACTTCTATGTGGATAATTGGCTGACATACAATAAATTGAAGAGAAAGTGGCTAGAGTGATGTGGTAGTAATAACCATTCAGTGATGTGCTTTAGGATGTGTTTTAGTTTTGACCTGGTATATTTAAACATAATTTTGAATCTACCTCATGCATGGTATGCCTATTGAGCAAGTCTAGAAGTGGTATAAATGATCCACGATTCTACAGCCTCCCCCACCCCCACCTCTCATATAAGTAGCAACTTCTAGCTAGGAGAAAGCTAGAGAAAGAATACATTTTAGACTCAAGAGAGGCTGTCATGATTCTTCTTAAAATGAGCCCTGAGAAAAAGGAGACAAATAGATCTTTTTAAAGTCATGCCACTTGGGATAAGACTACATTCTGGAGTAACTGACTGACTCTATACGTATTAATTCCAACATCTTCCCTGGAGTTAATTAACTGAACAATTTTGAGAAAAAATATTCTTGTGTGTGTGTAGCAATGAATTATTAAATAGAAAGCATGACTTGCAGCAATATTTGAAGTAGAGACCTGAAAGGAAGTTCATGTTATCAGCTTCAAAGTCTCACCCCACTCCTGTCCCTGTAGAATGAGCACGTAGAAACTTAGAGGAATCTTCAAAAAAACTAAAGGTCGAAATTCAGTTTAACCTAGCTCTTTCCCTTCTAGGTATCTTCTTGAAAGAGTTAAAGATGTCATATTACACTGAAGCATACACACCAATGTTTACAGCAATACAGTTCATAATAGCTGAATCCTTGGGGGCAACCCATTCTTAAGGCACTATCTCAGGCTAAACTTTCCAGGGAAGCCCACTTTAGAGGGGGATGGGTGTGCAAGAAGTTTGTTAGGAGTGTTCTTTGGGATTAACGACAATGAAAGGAAGCAGAGTTGAACAGAGAGGGAAGCTGGGCTCTGATACAGTCTCACTGAAAACCTCAAGTGAGCAGTAGGTGAGCTCTCGAGTGATTCTGACGCTTCAGAGTTGTCCAGCGTCGTCGTGAGTAGGCAGCAGCCTTATCCTTTTCTGTAGAGGAGTCACTGGCTTTTGGCTGCCTGGAATAAGGTCACTAGATTTAGCAAATAAAACTGCATGAAGACCACTGAAATTTGAATCTCAGATCAACATAGAATACTTTTTTAGTATAAATGTGTCTTATGCAATATTTGGCACACATTCATACCAAAAAATAGTTGTTGTTGATCTGAAATTCAAATGTAACTGAGTGTCCTATATTTTATTTGTAACCCTACACTGGAAGGAGCATGGCCTTAGGCCAGAGAACTCTCCTCAGCAGAGATGCATTCTAAAGCGGTTGTAGGAGAGCTGTATATGGTAGCACTCCCAGCAGCAGTGGGTGTAAGACTTTCAGTCCCAAGGTGGGATCTGTACCCCTGAATCCACTTCCCACTTTACATTACCAATAGTTGTCAATGTGAGAGTCTGGTTAGTGTGCAGTGGTTTCTGGGAATCAAATATTGCTATGAAATAGGAAGTTTATAGTTCCTGTCTCTCACTTAAAAAAGAAAATGATGTCTACCAAGTCCTCAACATGAACGTAACTACTATATACTACAGATATACAGTGACAATGTCTTTTTTTTTTCAAAAGGAAGTGATACCACTTTGAAGTGAATTGCATAAATGACTTTCGACATTCCCCAAAGTGGGATGGAAGGCTTTTATCCTCTAAGCCAGGTATATGTGATTTTATTGACACAACCAGCACTGACTTGAACTGACACCTGGTTCTGTTACATGATGGTTTTAGAAAGACCAGGTAACAGAACAGCTATTATTAAACAAAACTTCTTACATTTGTAAATGTTTCTTGATGTCTAAAACCCCTTATGGAAAATATAGCTATCCAACAAGTTAACATGTGTGCTTATTCAAGTGTATGTTTGGCAACTAGAATACACTAAAAGATTATGTTACTGTATGAGATTCTCACTAATGTTCCTGCACAGATGAACATTTGGCTATCTTGCTATACATGTTTTCTAGGCTAAGAATTTTTACAGCTATTAAGCTAAGCTATAACAGAAGCACTTGGGGCTGTGGTTGTCTAATTGTCTTTGTGTTAAATGTGGACACTTCTTTTTTCCTGAGAAAAATCTTGGCTCCAGCTAAGTGTTTTCCCTTGGCCTGTCTCTGTAGGGAGGAGACAAAACTTACTTTAATTTTTAGGCTCTATGTTCTTATTTATTACCCAGTTGAGCTGGACAGATCATAGAGCTGTGAACTTCATAGGAACATAGCAAGTCTTCAGGGAATAATGCAACCCCAATATATAGCTTCATCATAATGATTAAATATATGTTTATGAAGGATTGTTCAAAATGTGCTGTTTATTGAACCCCTTTGACATCATGAAAGTCATATCTTGACTGCTGAAAGTCACATTTTTATACCATATTGTTTTGGTTTTCACAGACTTGATTTTGATAAATTATATTTTACTTTTATTCTCTATTAGCCTTGAAAATTATACAAAAGCACTCTGAATCCTGTCAATAATAATGTCTATAACAGTAATAACACTGATAATCATGCATTCATTTGTTCATTCTATAAATATACTTTTGGTGACTTCTGTGTACCAGGTGCTTTCTTCTAAGCACAAAAGACAAAACTCTACCTTCACCAGATTTACGCATAAGTTGGTATAAGGAAGATAGGTTAAAAAAGAGAATGCGAGTTAATGATAAGGGAAAAGATGAGAGAAGGGAATGGGGGGTGAAATTTCAGATAGTCTGATCAGGGAGTGCGACCTCAGTGACAGATCCATGATATGTGTGTTTCACTCTGTATTTTACATAAGGATGTTGTTCACTATCTAATCCTGTGAGGATGTTCATTATATTACAAACTGTCCTCTTTCTGAAGACCCATGGGAAAACCTCCCCTTTGATAGCAGACTGGCAGCAGTTGGCATCTCTTGAGTAACTGGTTTCTTTTCATCTTTAGTGCACTAAGTATCACTTAACAGATCATGGTTACTGCTCTGTTAAGCTTACAAGGAAACCCGAAACTTTGGCATGGACCAGTAGTACTGACCTCACGCCTGGCTTCTCTTACCCTTTCTACCTTATTTTAGCTTTTGTCCCAATTGAGTCACCTGCTTATTTTATTTTATGTTGTTACTGCCATTTGCCTTGGTATGGATCCTTACTTTTTAAAAATGTAAATAAATGTCCAAACACTTAACGTGTGCACACACATACACATCTGTGTGCATCAGTAAACATATCATCATGTGAGGTATAGTGCATACTCCTTATCCGATTTTCCCTCAGACCAGGAGATTTTATCTGAAAAAGATTTTCATGCTTCTTGGAACCTTCCTTACATAGGTACTCAATAAATATTTATGGAATGACATCTTCGGTTGCAGCTGTAATTTAAATGAGAGAGATATACAGGAGTATCTTAAGAGTTTTTCCATTTGAATGTCAAACAAATGAAATTTTGCTGAAGCTCAGATTTTAAACTAATGGTATTCAAAATGTCATAAACCCTTTAAAGACATGAGGCAGGTCTGCAACATGATTGCTATGCAATGATGATGTTTTAAAACCCCTTCCTAAAAGTTTTTAATCAGTGGGTTTTAATAATTCAGGGATGCCAAAACCCTTCAAAAGTTATCAATCTCCACAAAAATTAGTTACACACAAGGACTTTACATACAATGTTAAGAGGGGTTTTGGAAACACTGAAGGTCATTCATCAACAAATTCATGTTTTTTTTCAAGTAGGAGTGTATACTTTTAGAGTTTTAGTAGCAAACGGTAAACTAATTTTTCACAGTCAAAATATTTACCTAAAATCCAACACCAAGATACAGCCAGTATCCACATTTTGTGATATTGTTTTGATCCTTTTATTTTCACAAAAATGTTTTGAGCTGGCATTATTGATGTGATTTCGTATCCAGTTTTTCTCCAGACAACAAGTAGTTCTTTTTTGGGGGAGGAGATGTGTATCCACCAGAATGGAAATAATGCCCGTACAAAACTAAATGTTTGTAACTATAACTTCAGCATCACAATTAAAATCCAGTTTTAAAAATGGTCAACTCAATCAAAACCCATAACTTCAGAATCAACACTTCCTTTGAAACCTCATTAACATTTAAATATGATTAAGAATACAGAAATTTCATTGGTTGGAAAGCTATCTGAGCATCTACTTGCTCAGACAGATTTATAAAAAGGCAGATTTGTGATTTTCACAGAGATGCAGGCCACTGGAATCACCAATGCTGGACGGCTGTCAATGAGTGTTTAGAGTTCTGTGATACTGAGGGATGCACTATCCTTTACACAGTCTTCTGTTGTCCTTTCTTCCCACTCAGAGATCTGAAAATACATGATATGATGCCACCACCCGCAACTGTAGTCTTGATGAGTGAGTCCAATTCTTCATCCCCAGGAATGGCAAGTTGCAAGTGGCCAGGGGTAATGCCTTTCACCTTCAGGTCTGTGGGTGCATTTCCTGCCAGTTCAGTGACCTCTGCCATGAGGTTCTCCAGTATGGCATGCTGTGCAGTGGCTGTGGCACCCACATGCCCGTGGCTGGTTGTCCTGGACGTCAGGAGTTGGTGGATGAGGCCCACAGGGAACTGCAGACAGGCCCTTTGCAAGCAGGAAACCCCTTTTGACTTGGCCTTGCCTGAGTCCTTGCTGGTCTTCCCCCCAGCCATTCCCAGCTCCGCTGAGGCTGAGGCACACAGGCCGTGAGCACTGTGCACGGTGAGGTCCACTGCTCCTCCCCTTCACCGAGATTCAGACTGCCCACCCACTGTGCTGTTAATAATACAGACTACACACACTTCTCAGTACCTTGTGATGTCTAAACGTAAGTAATTTTAAACTCCTGACATCCCAAATACATTCTTTGTAACAGATTATCACTGCTATGGAGGGAAAAAGCAAAGAAAGCAGCGCTTGGGGAAAGTGACGCTTTGTTGGTATTTTGACTACAGATTTGCTTCAAGAAACAGCACCCTCTTTGAAATGAAAGAATTTATCTGCTATTTAAAGGAACTCAGAGCTGAGATGGCTGGATACATAAAAACAGGGCACTGGTGTCTCCTTGGAGGTGCCCTGTAGAAAGTCCGCATTCACTCAGTTTGGAAAGGTCTGGGTCATCATCCTCTTGGTATTTCCAGTGCTTGTCCTGGACGTGGCAGCTAAAGATACCTAAATGGTGAGCAGCATGGCTGCATCCCGGCCAAGCTTGGTCTCTCCTGCTGCGTTACCAAAAGCTTGCTTCACGCTGAGCACCCAGTTTACCACGGGGCAAATGAGTAGTTCTTGGTATTAAAATTCTTTGTAAGCACCACTTTAATGGTTGTGTAGTAGCGCAGTGAATACATATACTGTAATACATTAAGATTTTTTATTATGCATTTAGATCCTCTCCTATCTGCTGTAAAGTTCATTTAGATACCTTAGAATCACACCTTTGTTGATATATGTAAATATTTGATAGATGGCCCTAGAAGGAAAATTACTAAATATAAATGTATACCACCATGAAACTAATGTGATGTATATTGTTTTTCAGAAAGTTTGACCCAGATATACTGGCCCTAGAAGTATCTGCTCTATGTCCTCCTTGCCAGTATTGAGCAATAACATTAAAAACAAAATAAAGAAACAAAATTTTCTCTTACTTGATAGATGGAAAATGGTGCCCTTTTGACTTTCATCTGCATTTCTTTCATTAAGAATGAGGTTTACTTTTAAAAACAATTTATTACAGTAAAAGATGCCTTGCCATGAGTGTCCCTCCAAATACTCCCACTAAGGAGGTTTACTTTTAAATCCAGGGTTTTGGAATCTGTCTTTTCTCTGTAATGAGCAGTGATGTGCTTGCTTCACTAATATGTCAATTTTTAAATTTTTATCTAAAAAAATTTCTCAGTAAAGTTTGGCTCTTTTTCATGTAAATTTGACATTTAAAAAATGTTTATTCCTAGGTATTTCATCTTTTTGATTATTGCAATGTAAAGGGAATTTTTTCATTATATTTTATAACTGCTTATTACTGCACTCATAAAGGTGATAGATTTTTATCTATTTGTGTTCAGACTGGTTTTCAATGAATCCTCTTGGAAAATTTAGATATATTCTCATTTCTTGTCTGCAAAGAAATGTTCTTTTTCTCTAAGATTTATACTTCTTATTTCTGTTCACTGACTTCTACTGTTTAAAACTTCCAGAATAATGTTACATGATAGTGTTGACCCTGGCTATTGTATAATTTTCTTCTCATTTTAATGGAGGTATCTGTAATATTTCATTGTTAAGTGTAACACTTTTAGCCTTAAGACAGGTCATTATGAATAAGCTGAGAATCTTGTTAAATTTCTATACTGTATATGTTATCATGATCTTACAGTTTATTTTTCACTGGTTTGTTCCTTTAATATTTTTTTAAAAAATTAATATTGAATCTGTTTTTGTATCTGGGGATAATTTTTGGGGGGCACGAAGGGCAATTCTTTAATTTTTTTAAAATTTTATTTAAGGAGAAAAAAAAAGCAGAGAAAGGGTACAAGTTATGCAGATTTACAGAAAAAAATAAACAGTAAGAAATCACCAGTTAATGGATTACATATTGTCATCCCTGAAACAGTTTCTCAAGTCACAAAACTAAAGCTTGTAAAGTGGACATTCCAACAATGATACTGCAAACAGTTCTGTTCAATGATCCAACAAAACTCAGTGATATCATTTTCTATCTTATACACTTACATATACATGCAGTTATATCATTTAGAGTACTTTCTTTTCCTCTTTTTTGTACAATGACAATTACACATTTTGGGTTTTGTTACTCCCACAGTTCTTATTACTTTTTTGGAAGGGAGTAGAACCAAATGTGACATAACAGAACAGAGTCAGTCAAATCAAAAGGATGGACATAATAGATAACGTAAAAACAAAATACCAGGTGATCAACAATGGTTACCATACTGCCTCTTGCTATCTTAAAAAGAATTGCCTATATCATCAGTTATAATAAAATTGAACAAAACAGTAAAGAACAAAACCAACAAAACCAAAACATTGGAGACATTGTAGGTCTTCAAAAGTAGATAAAAGTCATCGAGAATGGGCGTCATAATGAATCTCACTATCTCTCTAATCTCACTATCTTCACAGCTGTTGCCTAAACTTTCAAACCTGGTACTTGATAGTCAAAAACAAGATGGTGAGAGTAATACAGGGCTTTAAATCAAGATAATGGAAAGTCAAAGTGGGTTACTATAATATATCCTGCTATTTTTATTTATTTTTCCCTTAATTAAAAGGATAAAAAATAAAAAAAAGTAAATAATGGAGTGGAGATTGAGATAAAAGAGGGCATTACAGCAAAACAGTGCAGATCAAAACATAACCATTTAAGCAGAATAGTGTTTTACCACAAGATAATCCTGACATAAAAGTAGTTACCATATTGTCTCTTTCCTTGAAATCCTTGAGTACAACTTCGTATACTGTAGCATTAAATATATCAAAACAATGTAAAACCATTTAAGAGAATGACAGCATTACAGGGTATTTAGAATCAACTAACAGAAAATGAACAATGGTTTCTGTATAATCTCCTTGTCCTTAAAAGTTTTTGCTTATACTATCGTACATAATAAAATCCAATAAGATACAACCTGTTTAGACCAATGGAGACAGAAGAACAAAAGCTTAATGAGACTTCAAAACAAGATGATACGAAATCAGTATTACCTATTAAGACGTCATTTTCTCCAAAATAGCTGTTCCTATCATCCAATCTTCTCTGCCTCATTTCTGTTGAGCTCTTTTTCTGTCATTAGTTGTCAGTTTGTCTTCTTCATTTTGTTCGCTGCTCCATTCATTGTGGCCTCCCCGCCACTATTTCTGGATTCTTTGTATTTTTCTTTTTTTAGAATATCCTGCAATACTCTCTGTAGAGTTGAATTGGTGGTTGCAAATTCCCCCAGTTCCTCTTTATCCTGGAAGCACCTTGTTTTTCCATCAATTTCAAGGGACAGTTGTGCAGGATATCTCAATCTTGTCTGGAGATTATTATCTTTCAAAGCTTGAATTATTTCCCCCCACACTCTTTGTGATTTGATGGTTTGTGCAGTGAAATCTGCTGTACTTCTGATGGGTGTTCCCTTGTAAGTGGTCTGTTTCTTGTCTCTGACAGCTTTTAATATTCTGTTCTTGTATTGAATTTCTGGAATTTTTATTATTATATGCCTGGGTGTTGCTCTGTTTGGGTTGTAGGTGGCTGGGGTCCTGTATGCCTCATACATCTGAGTATCTTTACCTTTTGCTAAATTAGGAAAATTCTCCTGGATTATTTCTGTGAGTAGCTTTTGTAGTTCATTTGTTTGTGTCCCTACTTCTTCTTTTATGTTCTTAATTCTTAAGTTATGGATCCTCTTATCATCTTCTTGTCTTTGTATTATTGCTGTTTGTTTCTTTGTTACTTTTAAGAAGTCTTTCATTTCATTCTCCCATGTTACAAATCTGCCCTCCAGTACAGATAGTCTGTCCTTAGTTTCTTTCAAGCTGTTATGCCAGTTTTCGATAGAGTTTTTAGTTTCCTGGTAGTCCCTTTGAACCTGCTTCACGTATTCTATGCTTTCTCTATTTTCTCAATCAAACAATTCTCCCCTCTTTTTCTGTTCTTCCATTCCACCATCCATTTTTTCTTGGGTGGTGCCTAGCTTCAGGTCATTAATAACTTCATTCCTGAACTGATCTATGAGGCTCTCTAGATGGCGCTTTATGTCTATTGGTGTGGTGTCCGCTATTATCTGTTTCTCAGGATTAGGGGCCGAGGAGCCTTTCTTGTTGCTGCCTCTTCCCATATTCTTTGTTCCTTATATATGCAAGCTTATATAGGAGGCCCAGCTTCCCTCCCTGTTAGCCACAGCCTGATCAAATTGCGCTGGCTATGTGTTCCCGCCCACTGCAGCACACCAGGAAATTCCAGACCAGGCAGCCTACGCGGGGCCCGCCCCTCCAGGCCACCCTCAGGCTCTGGGATCTGGGTTGTGCTAGCCTATTGGGTTTCCGCCAGCAGAGTCACGTAGGCTAGGCACTTCTCACCAATCCTGCTTGAGAGGGGGACACGTGGCTGGAGTCGCTGCAGCGCCCCGCTCCCGCAAATCTGCCCAGTCCCAGAATGTCCTCCGCTGGAGTCAAACTGTGGTAGAGTGTCAGTTTCTCTCACTCACCTCACCACAAGTCAGTGCACGGCTCTCCGCCCGTCCTGTTTTCAACTCCGTTCGCCGATTCCCGTTCTCAGAGCTTCCACTCATCCCTCTCTTTGCCAAGCTGATGTAGACGCAGCCGCCAGGCGGCGGGAAACCCAAATCGCGGCTTCCAATGGCGCGGGCTCCAGCCTCCACACTGAGGCCCCTCTGTTCCTATTCTAGCACCAGGACTACATTTCAAGTTGGTTTCTCTCAGCCCAGTTCGTTCCTGGGTCAGCAGAGCATATCTCCACCTGCTTATGTCTCCTTACTCCGCACCATTCCTGAATTCTGAGCCGAGTCTTTCAGAGAGCCTCCATAGCTGCTGCTATCTGTCTGCCATGTTCTCCCGGAAGTCGAAGGGCAATTCTTTAAGTGAAGCTAAACTGAATTTCCTAGCACTTTATTGAGAGTTAGTATTGAACTAAAAAAAAGTGTACAGCTTT